CTTGTATCACCCAATATTCGACCCATACACCTGCAATTAAATCAATTTTCCTGAAATACTGGCATATTTTGAAATCAGACCCGGAAATTTCAACCATCTTTAAAGATCCTCCACTCTTTGTTCACAAACGAGGCAAAAATCTTAGAGACTATCTGGTACGGGCCAATTTCACAAACAAAACTAAACTATCCTCCCAATCTCTATTGCCCTATTACCCTATACCCAATGGTAACTACCGATGCGGCAGCTGTGCTCAATGCAATAATACTGTAAAAACTTATCATTTTTTACATCCTCACACTGGTAAAAAATATCCCATAAAAAGTGTTATCACATGTGCATCTACACATGTAGTCTACATGTTGAAATGTCCATGCGGCCTAGTGGACACTGGAAAGACCACAAGAAAACTTAAACAAAGAATAAGTGAACACAAGAGCTCCATCAGAAGAAACGACCGGGACGACCCTGTAGCAGTACATTTTAATAATCAGAGACATGATATTTGCTCTCTACGTTTCTGTGGCATTGAGCATGTCCCCCTCCACCCAGAGGAGGGGACCATGACCACATACTTTAACAAAGGGAAGCATTTTGGATTCACACTCTCCAAACTTTCGCTCCTAAAGGATCAATGATGATTTTAATCTTAGCATCTTTTTGTAGACATTAGTTTACATCATTAGGACTCTCGTTTTGGGTGGGCTGTATATGGGCTACAGCTTAAGATTCATTGTATATATATATATATATATAGATGTGTATATGGCACGACAACATAATTTAATAGTTGGGTGAATGTATATTATGTCTATATGTATCTATATATTCTTCTTATTATTCTATGATCGTTATATGATGATTTCATTATTATTATTTGTATTATTATTACACTATATATTGACTGTCTTTGTTTTTTGAATTATGGGGTTTTGTGTGCACTGTTTCTTTATGACCTGTCACCCTTGGGTGCTTGCCACACCCTATTTAAGATGGCCACCTGAGCTCTCATTCTGTTTGCCTGACGAAGGCCTAGTGCCGAACCGTTGCATGGTTTGTCCTAATAAATTTCACAGTTTGCAAGTAAGACAGTGTGCGGGATTTTTCTGTATGATTGGTGTTATTTGAAATTAAATATTGGAAATAGAGGTTGAAATCTGTTTTTTTGTTTGACACCAAAACGGAATAATGATATAAACTGTTTTTCCATTTTATTGTTTTTCGTTCTTAATTGAAATTCAAAAAAACAAATGGTACATGGACCTCAATGTTCTCATGTAGTTTCTTCATCCAAAACAGACCTGGAGTTGTGTTTTGGTTTCATGTTTAATGCACAAATCCTGCTGTTCTTCTCTCAAACTGAAACTGAACTGTTCCACCTTGTGATTGATGTTCTCCACTGCGTTTTTAAACTCCAAACACCTTCACTAGAATCACTTGGATAAAGCTAAAAAGAGCTGTTCACTTGAAAACTACCCCTTCATGACATGACATCACGAGGTGGAACAGAGCATTTTGAGCTTTGGAGATGTAGATCCAGGTTTGTTTGTGAGGAGGTAACAGCATTATACACAGTGTTGGGGAGTAACAGATTACATGTACTGGAGTTACGTAATCAGAGTACAAATTATGAGTAACTGTATTCGGTTACAGTTACTGTTTCAGTGAGTGGTAATTGGATTACAGTTACTTTGTTGAAATAAATTGATTACATGGCGGTATTTTGATGTTTTCCTGTTTTCACATTTTGGACTATATCCCCCTTTTCTTTCTTTCTTTTTTTTTTTCTTGGTAATTCCACTCATCAACTAAACCAGTTCTAAACCAGGACTAAACCAGGACTAAAACCAGGTCTAAACTAGATCTAAACCAGGACTAAACCAGGACTAAACCAGGACTAAAACCAGGTCTAAACTAGATCTAAAACCAGGTCTAAACCAGGACTAAAACCAGGATTAAAACCAGGTCTAAACTAGATCTAAACCAGGACTAAACCAGGACTAAAACCAGGTCTAAACCAGGACTAAAACCAGGTCAAAACTAGACCTAAACTAGATCTAAACCAGGACTAAAACCAGGTCTAAACTAGATCTAAACCAGGTCTAAACCATGCTGCATGGACATGTCTCCTCCTCTTCTATCAAATAATATTTTTAATACGATTAAGTAAAGTCTGGGCTTTTTATTTTCTTTTAGCAAACAAAACGTCAAGATTTCCTGGTCTTTGCTGCTCTACAGCAAAATCAAGTAATCCAAAGTATTCAGATTACGTTACTCACTTTAAGTAATTTAATGGATTGTGTTACAGTCTACATTTTGGTGTATGTAATCTGTAATCTGTAATCTGTAGGGGAATACATTTTTAAAGTAACCTTCCCAACACTGATTATACGTGACTTAAAGCTCACAAGATCCATTTTGCGTCATATACTATAGGATCTTTAAAGTAAACAATTTCTAATACCCAAATCAAATTATGCGTCATTGTTTTATTTTGGCAAGATTACTTTACTTTATACAATAATCTTACGAGATCTTTTGGTTGAGAGTTTCACTATTTTGGTCGCCTCATTGAAGCGTCTCTGATAATCTCCAAAACAAAAAAACAAAACAAAAAATCATAATTAATAGTAAAGTGTTTTAACTCTGTGGACAGACTTGTAGTGTGATGGGAGAAGAGGTGAAGCGTGCACAGTCATCCATCACACAGTCAGTGTGTGAGAAACAGAGCCAAGACCACACCTATTATTATAACTCCACTTTTCCTTTTCATTATGGCGGCGCTGGATCGGAGCCCAGGCAGAACCGACCTGCGCCCAACACAAGCTAATGACAGAGCAACTAATCCACCAAGTCCAAGATCCACTGGATGAAACACAACACAAGCTCTCTGGACTACTTACACATGTACTACAACTACTGGAATACTACTACTCTAGTACTTATACAGCTGGCAGAAGTACTGTAGTAATAGTACTGGAGTAGTTATAGTTGTAGTAAAAGTACTGTAGTAGTAGTAGTAGTAGTAGTAGTAGTAGTAGTAGTAGTAGTAGTAGTACTGTAGTAGTTATAGTTGTAGTAGAAGTACTGTAGTAGTAGTAGTACTGTAGTAGTTGTGGTAGAAGTACTGTAGAAGTAGTTATAATTGTAGTAGTATTGCAGTAGTTATAGTAGACATATTGTAGTAGTAGTAGTCCTACAACTATGACTGTACTACTAGTACTGTAGTAGTTGTAGTAGAAGTACTGTAGTAGTAGTAGTAGTAGTTGTAGTAGTAGTAGTAGTAGTAGTAGTAGTAGTAGTAGTAGAAGTACTGTAGTAGTTATAGTTGTAGTAGACGTACTGTAGTAGTAGTAGTAAAAGTACTGTAGTAGTAGTTGTAGTAGTAGTAGTAGTAGTAGTAGAAGTACTGTAGTAGTTATAGTTGTAGTAGACGTACTGTAGTAGTAGTAGTAGTACTGTAGTAGTTGTAGTAAAAGTACTGTAGTAGTTATAGTTGTAGTAGTATTGCAGTAGTTATAATAGACATATTGTAGTAGTAGTAGTCCTACAACTACGACTGTACTACTAGTACTCTAGTAGTTGTAGGAGAAGTACTGTAGTAGTTGTAGTAAAAGTACTGTAGTAGTTATAGTTGTAGTAGTATTGCAGTAGTTATAATAGACATATTGTAGTAGTAGTAGTCCTACAACTACGACTGTACTACTAGTACTCTAGTAGTTGTAGGAGAAGTACTGTAGTAGTTGTAGTTATAGTAGAAGTACTGTAGTAGTAGTAGTAGTAATGCTTTGGTAGTTGTAGTTGTACTAGTTGTACTGTAGTAGTAGTAGTAGAAGTACTGTAGAAGTGATAGCACTGTAGCAGTTGTAGCTGTAATAGAATTATTTTAGTAGTACTAGTACTGTAGTAGTTGTAATGGTAGTTGAAGTACTATAGTAGTTGTAGCAGTAGTACTGTAATAGCCATAGTAGAAGTATTATAGTACTGTAGTAGTAGTAGTAGCAGTACTGTAGTAGTAATAGTAGTGTAGTAGTAGTTGTAGTAGTAGGACTGGAGAAGTTTCATCTATTTTGAAAACCTGAAATGTCCCTCAGTAAAGCATTAAACACAACTCATGTGTTTTTGAGAAATAATACATACAAAAGAAAAAAGTAAAAACAGAGTGGAATCCCCTCTCCACAGATCTGACCTGTAACTTAACCTGTGGCGTCACTTGCTTGTGTCCTTACTGAAGCAATAACATCTTTATGGAAGCGGAGAGGTTACGCTTGTTTCTATGGAGATGCCATTGCTCTGCCTGGAATGTTCCACAGTGTGACATTAAACAGCTCTACTTTACATTTACTCAACTACAGGTGGTTTTATTGCTCCAACACCTAGAAAAACAGGTATTTTGACCTGCATTTTGAGCATGTCTCCGTGAAGATAAAAAGATTTAATACCATACTGTGGAACATTCCAGAGAAAGCAATAAAATCTCAGTGAAGAAAAGCGGCTGACGGACGCTCCACCGGAAAAGTTACACAATAATATTTCTTATCGACTCAGCAGACTACCTATGTATTTCTGTATTTTTGTGTATTTTTACTTGATGTGAAAATGTCCCTACTTTTGACCAATTTTAAACCTGCCAACAGTAAAGCGCAGCGTGCATTGACATTTGTTTACATAAAATACAGAAAAGCTCCCTATAAACGACCAAAACACAAAGAAAATGTGACTGTACCGACTCACACGGTTGTCATGAATGCGTCGAGTGCGGAACAGTTTTCTTTAATTACACGCTCGTTACAATTTTATTATAACCAACCGCCCCCAAAACCGGGAGCGTCCCAGTTTTTGATGTTGAAATTCCGCTCGCCCTCTTCCCGTTTCTCCCACGTGTAGCAGCGCCCCCTTGCGGTCCGCGTACCTCGTATTGACACCCGCCCCCCGCCCGCGCCTGCACCGCACTCCTTTCGTCCACATCCAAGCACAATAAAGCTGTTTACAATGCGCACGGCCCTGTTTACCCCCTAACACAGAAGACGCACTTGTGTAGCCAGCGCGTAATGCCGCTTTCTCACCGGGTTTCTGACGTGGGAGCCGGGTATGCATGTGCGCGCTCACCCCGTACGCACGACAGGACCGCCTAACCGGTTCAGCAGCGTTTAGCAGCGTCAACCTACAACCCGATACTTTACTTTGACACCGCAATCTCGCTCCAAACAACCGAAAATGTGCGTCAAAACTATCTTAAACTTCTAAACTCGTGCAAAAAGCGAACCTGCTGAAAGCGTTCCTGGGGGATCCAAGTCCATTCGCGGCGAACGTATCCAAGGATATACCACTACTTTCACTTTACGCACTTGTTTTGGAAGTTTTAACTCGACTTTCAGCGGATTTAACCTGTTTTTTTTTCTTAACATCACGCAGCAGAGGATTATTTGCCGCTTGTTGTCCCACTTTGCAGCCGGACCAGGATACGGACCGACGCGCACATCTGTATCACCAAAATTAACGCGGTGACGCTGCAGGAACACGTCTGTCACCATGCCCGTGCGACAGAAAGGTAAAATCTATCTTATTTCCTTACGTTTTCAACTAAAATGAGAAGTTTTTTGATTCATAGTTACGTTTTTGAACAGATTTCTAACTGTTATTACGTTGGTATTACTTCATGACGTTGAACTGACGCTGCGGTTCATTGTAAGTTCACGGCGAAACGAACCTCTCAATAAAACACGCAAATTTAATGTTTAACTCCTTACAGATATCCAGTTTTTGTAAGACAACACTAGAATATAACTGAAAATCAATCAAGAATTACTCTTTTTAAGTTCGGCACTGATTTTAAGTTGAAATTGATTTGTTTTAATTCACTTTTTACGACAAAATTAGCAATGTATCGTGCGTTGAAACTTCGCGCCGACTCGAGGGAAATATAGCTTCAAATTAAAGATGCAGTGCGTAACTTTTCTGTTTGTCTGTCTCCGTGGAGATATTGTTGCTTCATTGTGTTGCCTTGAATGTTCCACTTGCATGCAGGTGTCACTAAGCCAAGTTACAGGTCAGATCTGTGCAGAGGCGGCCGGCCGCATGCTTTATAAGGTAAACTATTTGTGCAGCAATTAAAACATCTATAATTCTGTAATTTAATATTTTCAAGAGGATAGAAGAGTTTAATGCCATAGAGTGGAACATTCTTGGCCATGTCATAACGCGATGCAGAAATGAGAAAAACAGAAAAGTTATATAGTTCAACTTTAGTTTAATTTATAACAAAAAGTGCAGAGTGTGGTCATGATCTGCAGGACCAAAGAAGACAAGCACATGAGAAATCCTAACTTGTGCCTGTCGAATGTTGTGTTGACTGTTAAAACAAAAGTGAAATATCTTGTGCAGATTATCAGTGCGGACATGACAGATGATGATGATGATGATGTTGATATGTATAGACAGTGTTGGATGATCTATACTCAGGCAGATGCTCTTATGCGCAAGTTTGGTTCTTGTACAAATTATGTAAAGTTGTTATTGTTTTAATCATGTTGTACACCGTTGTATATGGCCCACTTCTAATTAATTACAAAAAAGCCAGTTTGCGAAGACTGCAGGTGCCAGGTACAATCATGTTTTGCGGTGTTTTTGAGGAGGCCACGATGGACGAGTGCGACTGAGATGTTTGTGAACACTCTGCAGGCTGCACTAAGAACTTTAATGTACAGTTTTATCTATAGACTGAACAACAACATCAGATAATGAAATAATAATGTCACTCACAAATATGAGATTCAGTGCAATAAGAGATCAGTCCAATATGTGATGACACTGGTGTGGCTGTCTTTTAAAAACATGAAGGTTTCTTGTTTTGTATAGACCTTTTTCACAACGGCCGGAAGTGCCCCGCTAGGTCTGGGAATTAAGAATGAATTAAGAAGTTGCGGATACGATTCATATCTCGAAACATAAACTATGATACGATATATATCTTGATACAGTGAGCTTACGATTCGATATGATTCAATACGATATATTTCAAATATATATGATCAATTAAAATAAAGGCTAATTCATGGCTGTGACACTGAAAGTCTTTTTTAAACCACTTCTTGTGCAAAGTTAATATGAAGCACACTGATTTTAATCTTCAAAACAGTGAAAATGTCAAATGTGTTGCATAAACAAGTTTTCTTCCTCTAAACAAACTAAATATAATGATTTAGTAAAATAATTTAGTAAAATAAACCAAAAAAATACTCGTGGTGATATATCGATACAGCAGCCCTCAATATCAATACTGTATCATCACATTACACGATACGATATATCAATATTTCAATATTTTTGCACAGCCCTATGCCCCGCTGTAGGTTTTCAAGACTTCCGGTTAATGGTTTTCTGTCCCGAAATGTCTGCGTAAATGTCACACGTATTCTCCACCAGCTTCATAAATCTGCCCCATCACCAAATCTCCATCCAACAAGGTCCACGAAGGATAAACATTCTGTCCATGAAGAATTTATCCACAACTATCAAGGTAAGAAAGACGAAAACTTAAAGGAGAACAACGATGACGCATTAGTGACACACTGAACAAAACTAACATTATGGTCATGAATAAAACACAAGTAATAAGCAATTCATTAAAAAGTAACTTGTTCACTCAGACTGATTCTAGAATTAAAATGAAAAATTGATATCATGATGTCGATATTTGCATAGACAGATAGATTTGTTCAGTTGGAATACAGGTGTTCACAGATTACATGTCGAGCATTCCAACTGCACAAATCTCTCTGTGTATGATAATATCTACATCTTGAAATAGATTTTTAATTTTAATTGTACAATCAGTTTGAGTGAACAAGTTCATTCTGTTTTATTCATGACCACAACATTAGTTTTGTTCAGGAGTAGTTGCTCATGCGTCATTGTTGTTCTCCTTTACGTTTTCGTCTTTCTTACCTTGAAATCCTTCATGGAGGTTTATCCTTTTTGGACCTTGTTGGATGAAGATTTGGTGATGGGGCAGCTGCTGCTGGAGAATACACCAGACATTTACGCACACATTTTGCCATAGAAAAGCATTAGTGTAAGTGACTTTTCCCCTACATCGCGGCACTTCCGGCCGGTGTGAAAAAGATCTATGGTCACTGTCCTTGTCTGTTTTAAAAATGCACCATGAGTCCAGGAATAAAGATGAACTGAAATGGAACTGAATTTAACTAATAGGCAGTTTAGGAACATCTCTATGGAATCAAGCAAGTGACAACCCTCCACCAGAAAAGTGACACAGTGCAGCTTTAAAATCTAAAAGAGTAAAAGAGTGAAACAGACAGGGGCATGTTGGTGGTGTGTTTGTGTATTCTTCTGGCTCTTTCTCACAGGAATGTAAAGTGACACAGTGATGATGTAATCCTTTTATGAGATGTCTAACCTGAGCTCTGACTACACCTCAGATACACACTGTGGTCTGAAGCTGTGCCAGATATTAGGTGTTACTGACAGAAGGATTAATTCACAAACCATATCAATAAGGAGGCGTCAGTTTGATTTGATTGTGATTCTCTGAGCACTTTTGTAACTTTTCTGCTGGAGGCTCCGTCAAACGAATCTTTTCTTCACGGAGATGTCATTGATTTGTCCGGAATGTTTCACAGTATGGCATTAAACCTTTCTATTTTCATGGAGACCAAACCAGACCAAGTTGCAGGTCAGATCCGTGGAGAGGCGACCCCGCTCACAGTCAGAATGCCTGTTTTTTTTTAGGTATTTTTGAGCTATAAAACCACCTGGAATTGAATAAATGTAAAGTAGACATGTTTAATGTCACACTATGGAACATGACATATCCATAGAAACAAGCAGATGATGGACCCACAACCAAAAAGTTACATAGTGCACCTTTAAAACTTGTTTAATAAACTATTCAATTGTGACATGTGCTCATAGTTAAATACAGCTATGCAATCTCATGTTAGTGCCTAGACTTGAATGTTCCACAGTATGGCATTAAAGGGTTTAGATGTAAACATTAAAATACAGGTGTGAGTGAGTGGGATCACCTCTCCACAGATCTGAGCTGTAACTTGACCCGGTTGCGTCACCTGTTTCTATATTTGGAGATAGATGTGTTTAATGCAGGGGTGGGCAACAGAAAACATTGTGGAGGCCAAAATGCACCACAGTGGGGCGCCAGTGGCAAAAACTGTCATTGTGTCCATAGGCAAGACACTACACCCACATTGCCTAGTATGAAAGTGGTGTGTGTGTGAGTCGTGGTGGTGGTTGGAGGGGCCGATGGCGCAGACTGGCAGCTGTGGCTACAGTAGTAGTTTACCACCACTGAGTGTGGAGTGACTGAATAATGAACTGTAAAGCACTTTGGGTATCTTGAAAGATGCTATATAAATGCAATCATTAATCAATTAACTCAATTCTGCATAATATTAATTGTATTTCTTCATTAAAAAAATAATATATATATATATATATATATATATATATATATATATATATTTATTTATTTATATCTGTAAATATCATTGTTTTGACGAGCTTGTAAGACAAATAAGAGTTTATGTTATGACTAAGCAATGAAAAAGTGAAGTTGCCTTACAAAACATGTGATTAAAAAAACACCTCTAAAATAAAGCAATGCAGTTTTAGTCCATGCATGAGCTCAGATGATCAAATGTGTTTATTTTGTAATTCCAAATGAGCTTAAACAGGCCGGTCAGAGTCAACCAAAGGACCGTATGTGGCCCGGGAGTTGGACGATGCGCAGGTCTAGTTTAATGCATAGACTGTATAAAAAAGTGGACGTCTCGCACAGCGTTCGCCGCTACTCAGATGAAGTTCATTTTGCTCACAGTTACAGCAGCGAATTTGGGGCAAGGCTCTATATTAGGAATAGGATTTTTTTGACAGACAAAACAGCAAAATAAAAACAGCAGGATTATGTAGAGCGGGTTAATACGAACATTTTAAGGCCAGAGTAAGAAGGAGAGGGAAGCATCTATACAGTCTATGGTTTAATGCAATTCTATGGAATATTCCAGGAAACACAATAATGTATACATGGAGACAGGTGGCGGTAGCCTGATTTATCAGCCGGTTTCACTTTGTGGAAACCGTTTGACCTTGCAGCGTTAGGATTTATTTGCTTGACAGTAGACGGGTTATTTAACCAATCACTGCTATTTGGTCGTGACATATGTAATGTTTCAAATCGTGTAGGAAGAAGGACAATAACATCTTTCCCCTTGATAAAATTCACCAAAAATTCTCTGTGTTCCAGCTTTAAATCCCCAATCTCTGGAATCGTTGCCAACACAGAATGTCTGTCTTCGTCTACATCCATCTCAACCGCTTTGTTTACTGTTGTGTTGTACCACAAAAGGGACCAGACAGGAGCTTGAGTTTGACGTCATGACTTCACAGCTCTTCACTGACTGGTCGGTGTGCGGCCTACAACTTCCGGGACTCTTGCAAACCGTCTAGTGTATTCTGATTCCTGACCTAGTCACTGAAGAGAACTGAAATTGAGCAGAGGCACTAGATGATACC